TCTAAACTGAACAGACCATTTATCTATTCTAGAGTTTTCCTGATACCCAAGTCAAACTGCCCATTCAGGAGTTGTCTGGATCCTCTTTTTTCCTCCTCTTTGAAGAACTTTTGCCCTCCTTTAGGCTTCAGTGACTTCAGTTGTTAGATGTACAAATTCCTTTATTATGCAACTTATCTGGCCCTGTGGACCTGAATTCATTCAGAGTAGCTAGGTGTTCCTTTACCACCTCTTATCTTGAGCAACAACCCACTTGCTGCCTCCTTCATTCTACTTGCATTAAATTGAACATTGTTTTCCTTTTGAGAGAAAATGGAGGCAGAATGTTCAGCAGTTCTGCCTTCTCTCTAACACCGATTAGTATTTCTCCATCCTCTCCATGCAGCAGACCTACCCATTCCTTCTTCTTGCTCCAAACATAACCAAAAAAATCCCTCTTAGTTATTTTTAATCTCTTGCAAGTTTGAGCTCATTTGGAGAGCTTTAAACCTCCTCACCGTCTCCTTACAAATATTGGCTACTCGTTTATAATCTTACTTGGTGATTTACCCCTTGTCCCATTTCTTATACATGCCCCCTTTTAAGGCTTAACTCGTCTGAAAGCTCCTTATGCAGCTTCCCTGGTTACTTTAGATGTCTCTCAGTTCTCTTTCTCACGGAAATGACTTATGATTGTGCCTTCAGTATCTTGCCCTTGAGAAACTCCGTCCATTTGTGGACTTCTTTCCTCATGAGCTTTTCTGTCTGAGATCTGACCGAATATTTCCTTACATTTATTGAAATAAGATTTCTGAAAGTCCGGAGTGGACATAATTCAGCTTTCTTTTTCCTCAATGTAATAAATCCTAGAAGCGTACGGTCACTGCCATTCACAACTTTCCACAATGTCCATCTCATTCAGCCAATTCTTCTCTGCAGGATAGCTGATCTTGTCTCTTGTTCCACCTTGAGGAAAATTATGCCAGGGAGGAATTCATTGGACCTTATATTCTTGACGCTGACTTGATAGCCCATTGGTTGAAGTATCTGGCTGCAGAGCCAGAGGTTGGGAATTTGATTCTCCACGGTGCCTCCTGGAAGTAGAGCCAGCCTGCGTGTTCTTGGGCAAGCTGTAGAGTCCCAGGGTGCCCCCTAGAAGAGGGGAATGGAAAACCACTGTAGAGTGCTCTGTACCTAGAAAATCCTGAAAGGGTAATCATAAGTCAGAACTGATTGAAAGCACATCCTTATTATCACGGTAGTTGAATATTCCCATTACTACTGCATCTTTCCAGAGCGGCAAGGTCTAAGAAGGCATTGTCTAAAAATCTTTGTGATGGCTAGGAGGTCTGTAGCAGACCCCCATAGTTATGTTAATGTTGGTTTTGCCTCCCCTCATTTTTACCAAATGCTCACCACCAGTGTTCTATCTATGCTCTTAATCATCAATCTGCTCACAGTTATGCACATCCTCTACTTAACAGGGTGCTACTCCTCTGTCCTTCCTGTTTACTCTGTTTTGAATAAGTTACACTACAATAATTACATTCCGGTCATGGGTCTCACCCCCACCAGCTTTCTGCAATCATGCCAGTGTGAAGCATTCAAGCTCAACTTGTTTGTTTCCCATGATCCGTGTATTGGCATTGGCATTTCCTATAGCTACTGCCATATTTTCCCATTCACTGATGAGTTCATGTTTTACCATCCTAGTTTCTATTGCATGTCTTAACTTTTGGCAACTTCTGTCCTCTGGAAGAGCACCCCCCCTTCCGCTGCAGGATTCAGTTTAAAATCCTTCTGAGCAAGTCGGCTTGACTCCTAATAAATACATATTCCCCAACAGCCATAAGATGCTGTCCATCACTCACCATGAGTCGTCCTTCAGGGAAGCATGGACTTCAGGGAAACCACAGTTTTCTTGACAGCAGTTGTTCACTTCAGTTCGCTGGTTTCTTCCTGCGCCACCCACAGTCATTTCAACAGGTGGAAGTGGTGAAAATGCCAAGGTCCTTCACCTTCCCACCCAGAGACTCATACAGTAATCGCTTTCAGTACATTGAAGACTAGGTGTGGCAGTGTAACATTTGTTCCCACAGAAGGTGGGCCATCTCCCTGAGGTGAAGACTCAAAAATGTGACAGAGATCTTGCCAGGACTCCTCAAGCCTACTGATTTTCCTTCCACCCACCCACAGCATTATCTGCAGCTGCTTTGTGCTGTGTACTGTTCTCGTCCCTGTTTCAGCAGCTCAGACTCACTGTCTGTGAGGAGAGTAGGGTGTTAATTCTGTAATTCCAAGGACATAACAACCTGCCATTGTCCTGCTTCTCTTGTGTTGCATTCCTCCAAGTCCTTGCCACAACACTTAGTATTCTTCCTCTTCAGAGGCGTCTTCCCTCTGTTGCTTTCCTAGGAGAATCTGGTCAGCTCAGCCTGAAAGGTTCATTTTCCGTGATGGGACTTGTTGGAGGCCGTCCTCCAGTTGCAGCGCCTTTTCTCCGAACAGGGCATAAACAGCTTGTGCTGACTGCAGGTGTAGGTTTCTACATCCTCAGGCAGGAAGAGAATCACGCCACAGATTTTGCAGGTCATCTCAAAAGCTCTGTTGATGTTCATCTGTCTTGTCTGTATAAATTTGTTGGAACAACATTCTTGACCTCCTCTTTGAATGGCCATGGAGTATGCCCCTATTTGTTTAATCCATTCATAATTGCTTACCCACAAATTTGCACGGACTCTATACACCTGACAGCTGCTAATTCCTCCTTCAATCAAGTCAGTGACTCAGTTCCCCTCAATTCTGTAGCCCCTCCTCCAGTCCTATGGGCTTGGAGGCAGAGCATGCAGGTACTGTCAAACGAAGAGCTACAAATGTACAAATAAAACCTCCAAACAGCTGGGACAAACCATCAGCCTCGCTCTCTTTTGTCTCTTCTACCAGCTCTATGCAAATCACCCCTGTTTACTCCTGTTCACGATCTGCTCACAAGCTTGCAGGGACTCTGAGTACAGTGGACCCTCGACTTACAGACGGCTCGACTTACAGACTTTTCGAGTTACAGACTTCTCTGGCCGCAAAATTTAGATTCGACTTGCAGCCGGAGAATCGACTTACAGACCAGAAAAAACCCCAAAATGGAACAAAAATAGAATAAAAACCGCCAGTTATGGGATTAATCGGTTTTCAATGCATTGTAGGTCAATGGAGATTCGACTTACAGACTTTTCGACTTGCAGCCACCGTTCCAATACGGATTAATTCCGTAAGTAGAGCGTCCACTGTAGAGTAAATATAAACATAAAGAAGAAAAGAAGACATCTGAAAGAAATCTCTTGCCTTAGAAAAGCTTTCTAAAAAAACAAGAATGAGAAAAGAAGCCAAGATGGAGCTATAATCAATTGATCAGAATTGAAGGGAGTTGCAAAACAAAAAAAGAAAGAAAGAAAAAAGAAAACGATACATTGCTGTTTTTAACTCAATTTTTTGTTGTAATTTCAGAATTATAAGTTTCATAATGGGCTTCAGTTAAGTGATTTTTTTAAAGGGATATTCAGTGGAATCTCAAGTTCATGTGTGCTTTTATTATGCTTCTAAAGCAAGAACAGAAATCCTTCTTTCTTTTTTTTTTCATTATTGTTTGCCATTTGTCATTGTTTAGAAATTACTCCGCTAGGAAAAATTGAAGGAAGTAGGAACTGATGGATTGATTCAAACAAAGTAGCCATGGCATCTTATTTGAAAGACTGGCTAGAGCAAGGCTGCTAACAACAGGGCCTTTTGTGTTTAGAGAAGGTGATATTGAACATCTGTTGACAAATAATCTCTTTTCAGTACTTGTGTGCAGTTTGCTACTATTTAATGAAACTTTTTTCTAACAACTGTTTTTTAAAAGTTGGGGTTATTTTTGAAGGGTGGTTGAATGTTGATCAGTGAACATTATGGGAAAGGAACATAAAAATTTAAAGACAATTCTGTACGTTTTTGTAGTGAGATTATCATGTTGTTAATGCTAATAGCTGTCCCATAAATTTAGGTTTACAGCCTTACTTATCAAGATTTAACAGATTATTTATTTATAGAGTTTAGCAAATCGGACCACGCTGTACCCCAAGTATAAACGCAAAGCTTCAACCTTTCATGCATAATTAGATAAATGCTGGATCATGCTTTTGAAAAAAACATTGTAACATATTCCAATGAAATGGAACTGTATTACTTTTTTTTAATGCATAGGTTTTAAATTTGGGATTGACCATGTAACCTAATCCAATTTGGAGTGGCCCCATAAGATGTCCCAGCCCCAGAGACAAGCCTTTCCCTGGGGGGGGGACTGTTGTGGGGGGAGGCTTCTCTGCACTTGGGGGCCAGCAGGAACAGAGAAAAAAATCAGAAGTGGCTGTCCAGTTACATCTTTTTCTTGATGCACACAGCACCATCACTGCCACCCTCAATTTTTTACCGTTTCCAGTTGTCCCCGACAGTAGCTGGGGGCAAAATCTTGGCACCAAGTTCCACTCCTGTTGCACATCTCTGTCTTCCACAGAATATATATATTATATATTATTTTTGCTAAGTAAAAACTTCAGAGACATTTTTCATTTTGTGTAATTCAATTCCACACTTTTCTGTGACTTAAATCACTTTTTGATCAGAGTTTAATGGCTTTAATTTATTATTCTTTTTTGTTGGGTGCTCCCCTGGTCATGTTGCCAGCTTTCTGAAAGGCTGGTTGACCAGTGAGTAGAATCATTGTGTAGAGTCATTGTATATTCATGTGCCTTCTGTTAAATACAATTAACACTTTTCAATTTGTTAGATTCCCAAGTTCTTACATTGTTTTTTTCTTTTATTGTGACAACTAGTTTTGGTTATTCTTCATCTGACACTTTAGAGTAAGACATGTTTGAAGGGAGATGGGTTGTTCCTCAGCCCCCTTTTTCAGCAGTTCCAGTAAAGGCTGGCGTTCTTGGCATAGCCGTGGCTGTGGTGAAGAGCTCCCTGCTCTTTTTCCCTTTTAGTCCAACGGGAACCGGAGAGATCTGAATGTGGAAGAGGCCTGGCAACAGGGCTACACGGGCCGTGGCATCGTAGTGTCCATTTTGGATGACGGCATTGAGAAGAACCACCCAGATCTAGAAGCCAACTACGTGAGTAGAGACAAGAAAGGGCAAAACAAAGCTTCTCTAGGCTGCTCCTAACAATTAGCCCTCACCAGGATCTGCCCTCATGTCGTGTTCTCCTTTTTATTTATTTAATTTAATATTTTTGTTTATTTAATATTTTTGTCTCCCTTTTCCCCTTTAAAAGAACCTAAGGTGGCTTACATCATTGAAATACAGTATTTAAAGAGGAAAACAATGAGTATACAATGGTGGTTGGCATAATTAAAAGACAATATTTCAAGCTAAGAATAATGAGTATAAAAAGGCAGCTTACATCGTTAAAAGACAATATTAAAGCTAATAAAGAGTAGTTACCTACCCGTAACTATGGTTCTTCTAGTGGTCCTCTGGGAAGCCACACAACTGGGTTTAGTTTAAATCCAGTTGTGTGGCTTCACAGAGGCCACATAGAAGAACAATAAGTATACAAATATTAAAAAGGAACAAACAAATATCACTCTAAGAAATGGTAAACACAAGCAATGCTAAAAACGGTTAAAAAAACAATGCATAACAATTCATCAAAAAATCTATGGTAAACACAAGCAATGCTAAAAACGGTCAAAGCAGCAATGCATAACAATTCATCAAAAAATCCCACTCAGGCAGCCAGTCGCTGAGGGAAAGTTTGCCTGAAGAGAAAGGTCTTTGCCTGCTTGTGGAAGGACAGCCAAGATGGAGCCAGTCTGGCTTCCTGTAGGAGGGAGTTCCAAAGTCTGGGCACAGCCACAGAGAAGGCCCTCTTCGGAGATGTGTCCCCATCAGACGCTCCTTGACCTGCCTCTCCCCACAGCCTGGTCTGTGTTTTCCCCAAAGGCCCAGCAGTCCTTCTGAATAGACCAGTGTTCACGGGGTGCATGAGTGTCTGTGTCTGCTCCAGGCAGCTTGTGGCCCCCTCTCCGTGTCTCTTGGACCCCACGAGGGAAAGGCCGTGAGCCTTGGACTCTTGGGGGCTGGCCCTGCTGCTGGAGCTGTTGGGAGGCCTCTTGTCACCCGAGCTGGGCATGTGGGGCAGGAGCACATTTCCACCAGGAAACGAGGTGACCCTGGGCTCTTGCTTCTGCAGGACCCGGCAGCCAGCTTTGACGTGAATGACCAAGACTCTGACCCTCAGCCGCGCTACACGCAAATGAACGACAACAGGTGAGGGAGAGGATGGGTGGGGTCGAGTCTGAGCTGAGCCAAGCCCCTGGAGCTTGTTGAGGAGGGGGCTCGGGTAAGATGCTCTGCTGTCACTGGAATACCAGGGCCGCTGAGGGTGCCGCCTCCTGAATAATGGTGAGGTGGGAGGTTTAGGGAGTCAGGAGGCAGAAGGGGTGGCGGGCCGGCCCCTTCCCCACGGCTGCCTTGCAAAGGCCCACTCTTCTCTTCTGACGTCCCTCTCTCCGGTTGTAGGCATGGCACACGGTGTGCGGGGGAGGTAGCGGCCGTGGCCAACAATGGCATTTGTGGCGTGGGCGTGGCGTACAATGCCAGAATTGGAGGTAAGCGGCCAGTTGGGAGGAGCAGCTCCCTCCGACACTCTTGGGGCAGGGATGAAGAAGAGGGTGTTGGTCTCCAGCCGGCTTCCGCCGGGTCCTTGGGACGCCCGTGACGGCCTCTCTTTCTCTTAGGTGTCCGGATGTTGGACGGGGAAGTGACGGATTCTGTGGAAGCCCGCTCGCTGGGCCTGAACCCCAACCACATTCACATCTACAGCGCCAGCTGGGGCCCTGAGGATGATGGCAAGACGGTGGATGGCCCAGCCCGGTTGGCTGAGGAGGCCTTTTACCGAGGGGTCAGCCAGGCAAGCGAGCAGGGCCGGTGCTGGTGTTGATCCCAGGTCCCCTTCCCTGCCTGCCCCCCTGCTTCCCACCCCTCACTGTCGCCTTCCCACAGGGCCGCAACGGGCTGGGCTCCATCTTCGTCTGGGCCTCTGGGAACGGCGGCCGGGAGCATGACAGCTGCAACTGCGACGGCTACACAAACAGCATCTACACGCTCTCCATCAGCAGCACCACCCAGTATGGCAATGTTCCCTGGTACAGCGAGGCCTGCTCCTCCACCCTGGCCACGACCTACAGCAGCGGCAGCCAAAACGAGAAGCAGATTGTGAGTCCCGTCCCCACCCCAAGGCTAGGGGTTGCGGTTAGGGGCGCCCTGTTCTTTGGCTGCATGGGGCTCGTTCTGTCTCTAATGGTGCCGAGAGGGCTCTTTGCAAACCTTGGGGAGGGTTTGCTGAACTTGCCCTGGTTCGTGAGGAAGTGGGTGTGCTTTGCTCCTTACAAACACCCCCAGGGGGAAGGCAGGCTGGAGGGAGGGAGGGAGGGAGGGAGGAGAGACAGACTGGGCCCACCCAGTTTCCCTGGAGCATTGATTCCTAGACCAAGGCTCTTCTTGGCCCTTTGAACTGCCATACATGAAGAGACTGAATGGGTATATAAGTGTGTGACACAGACCCAGGAAGCGGGTGGCAGGCCTCTCTAGCGGAACAAGGGACAAACTTAGAGGTAGGCACATAATGAACTCAGTGAGTGAAGAACTGGACTCTTGACTGCAGAAACCTTGTTTGTGCAGTCAGGCGGTGGCTTTTTCTAGGGAAGCCCCAGAAAGGTAGGGGCTATGGAATTTGTAACAGCACCAGTTCAATGCATTAAGCATGTTCGTTTCTGTAGTTCAAAACAAGACTGCAAGCCTCTCCTTCGAAGAATGATGATGCCAACTTTGTGACTTCATAGTCGAGTGAGTTTTACTATTTTCCCTTCCACAGTCTGTAACCTAATGAAGAAAGGTGAAGGCTGACACATTCATTGTGACCTCTGAGTTGACCCAAAAAGGCTTTCTAAGCTTAGTTTTCTGGAGTTGATATCCACTCAGCAAAGCCAAAGGGTGGACTGTAGGAGGAATGCGTACTGTATGCTCCCTCTGCTGGTAATTTATTAGCCTATTCCGAGGGAGGCAGAGAAAGATATGAAGGTTTTGGCGACAGGTGGAAAGACATTTTCCAGACACCAATCGTGTTTGTAGATTTCTTAGAACCCAGTCTGTTGGAAATAATAATTGTGATTTCTCACACTACCATTTTTTTAAAAAAAGCCATAAAATGTATGAATTCCCAGAAGGAAAGTCACACATTTGAACTTAAAAGTAATGCAAAAATTCTTTCATGTTAGCTAACAGCAATGGGAAAAGTAAAATGGGCTATTCTGAGCCTCTCACCATGTGCAGCAGTTTAAATGTCACTCACCATAACATTAAGGGACAAAGCTAGGACAAGGCATAGCAGCGTGTGCAAGTTATGCACACATACCGCTCTGCAGCCTTTCTAAGCCAGTCCAAGTTGAAAATTGCCACAGATACTTGTGTATGGGCAGGGGTTCAAAAGTCAGAAATGTCCTGCACCTGCCTCCCTCGATCTCTTATGGAGCTCGGTTCTAGGTAAACAAAGGATACCAGGGGTTCAAAAGTCAGAAATGTCCTGCGCCTGCCTGCCTAGATCTTTTATTGAGCTTGGTTCTAGGTAAACAAAGGATACTTTTTCTAAAGTTCTGCCCTGTTTCTCTAGACCTTTCCAGACAAAGGTGGCTTTCTAAAAGCCAAGGAGCGACAGAAATATTCAGAGTGGGAGTGAAGCTCAGAGTTTTCAAGCCCTCCAGGGAGCTGTAGCCTCTCACTCTGGGCCTTTTCCCTTCCTTCCTCTCCTGCCTCCACAGGTGACCACTGACCTCCGGCAGAAGTGCACAGAATCACACACGGGGACCTCTGCGTCTGCCCCCTTGGCCGCTGGAATCATCGCGCTTGCTCTGGAGGCCAAGTAAGGGGGGCTTGCTCGAGAGGAGCTCTTTGGGGCCGTGGCAGGGAGAAGCCTAGCCGCCTCTGTGCTGGGGAGAAGGAAGGGGTTACATGGAGGGAAGGGAGAAGGGAGCCCCTGTCCCCACCCGTGACCGAGCTCTCTGCTCTCTGCAGCAAGAACCTGACCTGGCGGGACATGCAGCATCTCGTGGTTCGGACCTCCAAACCTGCCCACCTCAACACGAATGACTGGGCCACCAACGGGGTGGGTCGGAAAGGTAGGTAGAGAGATGGCAACTAGAAACAAGACTGTGTGTGGGAAAGAGGGAGGGAGTGGATGTGTGTGTGGATGTGTGTGGGAGGGGAGAAGGTTCAACAGAGTCACGTACCCACCAGCTTGCCTCTCTTCGCAGTCAGCCACTCCTATGGCTACGGCCTCCTGGATGCTGGAGCTATGGTGGCCCTGGCCAAGAACTGGACCTCGGTGGGACCTCAGAGGAAGTGCATCATTGACATTCTCACAGAACCAAAGTACGTCCCAAGTGGGGAGAGGGAAGGGTCGGGAGCTGAGAAGCCTGTCTTCTTAGTTCAGCCTTCTGTGTCAGTGACGGGGCTCCATTTTCAGAGGCTGGAACCGGCTTGGGAGGCCGGGCTTCTTGAGGCGTGGCCTACGGGCGTGGATTTGTATACGCCATTTCATTTTGTGCCCTGAGTGCGTCTCTTCTCCTTGCGGAGTTATAAAGCCAACATTGACCAGCTGAAATAGACCGTGGCCTGGAAATTAGGTCAAGGGGGTGGGTGGTGGGCGGCTGCATCTTGGCTTGATATGGGTTCGGCCGTTCTGAAGGGTCTGCAGCCAATTTTGCCTGCCTCTGAGACGTACCCCACGTGCGGTATCTCCTGCTCGCAACAGAACTGAAAGTAGTTGGAGGTGTACTTTCATTTCTGTTTCACCTCCTTTTCCGTGCAAAAACAAAAGTGCCCGAGGGCTATGAGACATGCTTTATAGATAAAATCATGATTTCTGAAGTTTTCTAGGAATGTGAATCTGCATTAGTTGTTTGGGCAGGATTTGCTCATGACATCCCAGCCCTGCCCCAACACACACACACCAGCCCCCTGAGCTGAGAGGAGAGCTTTCCAAGTACTTGGGTGGGCCATTCCTCTCACTCTCTCTCTCTCTCTCCACTGTGTTGATACGACTGGTGGGGGGGGGGGGCAAGAGAAAGGGGCCGCTCCCTTCTTTTTGCCCATTTTGTCCTCCAAGCTGTGCTCAGTCCTGGGGCTAGAGTGGCACTGGCATTATTTATAGGGCTAGGGTGTATTTGTGTAGAGGGGGGGACACACAGAAGGACAGGCCATGTTGCTTTGGTCTGCCTTGCAGTTGGGTCTTGGGTAGGAACTGGAGGCCAGAGGCTCCATCTCCGTCTCAGTGATTTCCCTTTGTGTGCCATACTGTCTTTCCATGAAAGCAGCTTCTCATGAAGCAGAGCATTAGGGCTGATGCTCCACAAAGTAGGCAAGAAAAGCTGGAGGTGCGTTTCTCCCCACCACCACCTCCTTTTAGAGCCATGCCCAGCTCCCCTCCCCTTACAGAGCA